GAGGGAGACGGTAGAGGCGCGACGGAGAGAGGAGCAACGGCGTAATCAGTGTCGTCGTCGGACGGACGAGAGGCAACCCCAAAAAATGTTTAGGGGGGGGCACAGGGCATGGACGACGGGGCTGACGGAGGCAGACAAGGGGCAAATTCAGAAGGCCACCAGGTTACGGGAGCCATTGGTGAGAAGAGGGAAGGAAGATGTAGAGGCGCGGCGAGAGGTACTGAGGTGTATTGCCAGTCCGGTCCGGCCCGTTCCTGATCCCCGTTTAAGGCCAATGGTGTGTGTTCCCAGTACGGTCCGGCCTGTTCCTGCCCCTCGCACCAAGTGTACGGTGCGCGTCGCCAGCCCGGCCCGGCCTGTTCCTGCTTCTCGCACCAAGTGTACGGTGCGCGTCGCCAGCCCGGCCCGGCCTGTTCCTGCCCCTCGCACCAAGTGTACGGTGCGCGTCGCCAGCCCGGCCCGGCCTGTTCCTGCCCCTCGCACCAAGTGTACGGTGCGCGTCGTCAGCCCAGCCCGGCCTGTTCCTGCCACTCGCACCAAGCCTACGGTGCGCGTCGCCAGCCCGGCCCGGCCTGTTCCTGCCACTCGCACCAAGCCTACGGTGCGCGTCGCCAGCCCGGCACGGCCTGTTCCTGCCACTCACACCAAGCCTACGGTGTGCGTCGCCAGCCCGGCCCGGCCTGTTCCTGCCACTCGCACCAAGCCTACGGTGCGCGTCGCCAGCACCGGCCCGGCCTGTTCCTGCCACTCGCACCAAGCCTACGGTGCGCGTCGCCAGCCCGGCCCGGCCTGTTCCTGCTACTCGCACCAAGCCTACGGTGCGCGTCGCCAGCCCGGCCCGGCCTGTTCCTGCCACTCGCACCAAACCTACGGTGCGCGTCGCCAGCCCGGCCCGGCCTGTTACTGCCACTCGCACCAAGCCTACGGTGGCGCGTCGCCAGCCCGGCCCGGCCTGTTCCTGCTACTCGCACCAAGCCAGGGGTGCGAGACGTCAGCCTGGTAAGGCCCTTTGCTGCTCCACGCACCAAGCCAGGGGTGCGAGTCGTCAGCCCGGTAAGGCCCGTTCCGGCTCCACGCACCAAGCCAGGGGTGCGCATTGTCAGCCCGGTCCGACCCGTTGCTGCTCCATGCACCAAGCCAGGGGTCGAGTCGTCAGCCCGGTAAGGCCCGTTCCGGCTCCACGCACCAAGCCAGGGGTGCGCATCGTCAGCCCGGTAAGGCCCGTTCCGGCTCCACGCACCAAGCCAGGGGTGCGCATCGTCAGCCCGGTCCGGCCCGTTGCTGCTCCACGCACCAAGCCAGGGGTGCGCATCGTCAGCCCGGTCCGGCCCGTAGCTGCTCCACGCACCAAGCCAGGGGTGCTCATCGTCAGCCCGGTCCGGCCCGTTCCTGCTCCACGCACCAAGCCAGGGGTGTGCGTCGTCAGTCCGGCACAACCCGTGCATGGGTCACCGGTGCCTGGTCAGGTACCGGTCAGCTGCTCCACACCGGAGCTGAAGCTATCCGCTCCTACGATGTCCAGTTCAGCTCCAGCCAGCGGGGCCAGACCGGACCAGGGGCGCTACGGGGGGATTATTAGAGGGTGGTGGTCTAGCCCGGAGCCGGAACCGCCTCCGAGGAGGAATGCCCACCCAGCCCTCCCCTGGTTTGTTGATGTTCAGGCGCGGTCGCAGTCCGCGCCTTTGGGGGGGGGGGGGTACTGTCACACCCTGGCTCTGGGGACCCTATATGTTGAGCCAGGGTGTGTAAGTTCTATGTGTTTTTGTTCTATGGTGTATTCTATGGGTGCTATTTCTATGTTGGCCAGAGTGGCTCCCAATCAGAGGCAACGAGTGTCAGCTGTTGCTGGTTGTCTCTGATTGGGAGCCATATTTAAACTGTCTGTTTTCCCTTTGTGTTTGTGGGATCTTGTTCCGTTTTGGTTTGTTGCCGTGTCGGTTGTGTTATACCGAGGACGTCACGTCATCGTTTATCGTTTATTGTTTTGTTCGTGCATTCATTAAATAAATGCGCATTGGTCTACTCCGTATAACGATCGTGACAGTAGGTTTATTTGAACAGTGAGAGACAGAATAACAACAAAAAAATCCAGAAAAACGAATGTCAAAAATGTTATCAATTGATTTGCATTTTAATGAGGGAAATAAGTATTTGACCCCTCTGCAAAACATAACTTAGTACTTGGTGACAAAACCCTTGTTGGCAATCACAGAGGTCAGACGTTTCTTGTAGTTGGCCACCAGGTTTGCACACATCTCAGGAGGGATTTTGTCCCACTCCTCTTTGCAGATCTTCTCCAAGTCATTAAGGTTTCGAGGCTGACGTTTGGCAACTCGAACCTTCAGCTCCCTCCACAGATTTTCTATGGGATTAAGGTCTGGAGACTGGCTAGGCCACTCCAGGACCTTAATGTGCTTCTTCTTGAGCCACTCCTTTGTTGCCTTGGCTGTGTGTTTTGGGTCATTGTCATGCTGGAATACCCATCCACGACCTATTTTCAATGCCCTGGCTGAGGGAAGGAGGTTCTCATCCAAGATTTGACGATACATGGCCCCGTCCATCGTCCCTTTGATGTGGTGAAGTTGTCCTGTCCCCTTAGCAGAAAAACACCCCCAAAGCATAATGTTTCCACCTCCATGTTTGACAGTGGGGATGGTGTTCTTGGGGTCATAGGCAGCATTCCTCCTCCTCCAAACACAGCGAGTTGAGTTGATGCCAAAGAGCTCGATTTTGGTCTCATCTGACCACAACACTTTCACCCAGTTCTCCTCTGAATCATTCAGATGTTCATTGGCAAACTTCAGACGGGCCTGTATATGTGCTTTCTTGAGCAGGGGGACCTTGTGGGCACTGCAGGATTTCTGTCCTTCACGGCGTAGTGTGTTACCAATTGTTTTCTTGGTGACTATGGTCCCAGCTGCCTTGAGATCATTGACAAGATCCTCCCGTGTAGTTCTGGGCTGATTCCTCACCGTTCTCATGATAATTGCAACTCCACAAGGTGAGATCTTGCATGGAGCCCCAGGCCGAGGGAGATTGACAGTTATTTTGTGTTTCTTCCATTTGCGAATAATCGCACCAACTGTTGTCACCTTCTCACCAAGCTGCTTGGCGATGGTCTTGTAGCCCATTCCAGCCTTGTGTAGGTCTATAATCTTGTCCCTGACATCCTTGGAGAGCTCTTTGGTCTTGGCCATGGTGGAGAGTTTGGAATCTGATTGATTGATTGCTTCTGTGGACAGGTGTCTTTTATACATGTAACAAACTGAGATTAGGAGCACTCCCTTTAAGAGTGTGCTCCTAATCTCAGCTCGTTACCTGTATAAAAGACACCTGGGAGCCAGAAATCTTTCTGATTGAGAGGGGGTCAAATACTTATTTCCCTCAATAAAATGCAAATCAATTTATAACATTTTTGACATGCGTTTTTCTGGATTTTTTTGTTGTTATTCTGTCTCTCACTGTTCAAATAAACCTACCATTAAAATTATAGACTGATCATTTCTTTGTCAGTGGGCAAACGTACAAAATCAGCAGGGGATCAAATACATTTTTCCCTCACTGTATAATATCCATCACATCGAAGTGAACTTGGAGTCACACGATGACATGTTGTGTGGTCCTCCCACTACGACTCGTCAGGAAAGCATGCAGTTTATTAGCTACAGATTAAATAAATGATGAGGATTTTAACAGGGTTGTGAAGGTGCAAGGTGATGAGCTTGATGCTCCTTTCCAATAAATATCGAGGTTCTTATTCTGGTGACATGATCATCGATGCTTGGCTGCCGTTTGTAAAATAAAAATAACCTCGCTCTATAATCCATAATAATCTCATCATGTAAATTATACATTGGCTAGAACCCACATGCCAATATCGCTATATGACGCAAAATAGTTTGTGGGAAAACCATCAGTGCAGTTGAAAATGCGAAGGAAACCCATTTAATGTGTATTTTTTATTCGGTACATTTGTATTTTTATTCGGTACATGGAAATTTAACCGCAGAAGTAATTTTGATGTGCACTACTTCATCACCCACAGTATTCTATCTGCAACAAGTCAATTTGATGGAAACACATCTGTGTTGGGAAAAGGCGCACATTGTTTTTATGCAGATTTTAGAATATTGGCATGAAAATCTGTTGCCAATTGGATAGAAACCTAGCTACTGATAACAACACATGATGCTCCTTTCCAATAAATATTGGAGAGTCTTATCCTGGTGACATGATGATCTATGCTTGGCTGCCATGATGATCTATGCTTGGCTGCCATTTGACAAATTAAAATAATCTCGCGCTTTAGTCTATAATAATCTCATCGTGTAGTATACCCGCACTGTATCTGCGAGCTGTTGGCTAGAGCGCACGTGCCAAGACCAGAGTGGGCACATTCGCTATAACGCAACATACTGTATTTAGTGACCAAACCATCAGTAGAGTTGAAAATGTGAAGGAAACCCATTTAACTTGTATTTTTTATTTGGTACATGGGAATTTAACAACAAAAGCTTTTTAATGTGCACTGTCATCACTCACTATTTTTTATCCACAAGTCCGTTTGGTGGAATGAAAACACATCACACTGGAAAATGTGCAGATTCTCTTTATGCAGATTTTAGAATATTCGCATAAAAATCTCGTTCCATTTGGATGGAAACCTAGCTACTGACAGTACTAATGTGGAAGCTATGGGAAGTTGCTTGAGAAAAATATGCAAAGTAGAGGAGAACACACAGGGAGTGTAGATGCCTAATACTGTAGTCCTATGCCTGGTCAATCTCGAATGGCTTTTTATATCAATTGATTAATTACATATTCCTATTCTGTGGTGATCTGGATACATTAAGTGGCAGTATTACAATACGAATGTAGTTGTGTAAATGTGGGTCTGTCTGTCTGTCTGCGTGAAGCACATATGTTGTCAGTCCCCTTCTTCAAGAGACTACCATTTTTTTTTTAAAAGCTGCCATGTTTTGTTGAGTCCATAAGTCAGTAGGAACCTGTTGCAAAGGAGAGCTGGAGACACGAAGGTGGACAGAAGCTGACTGTGAGAAAGGAACTGAGGGTAACCAGGGAAATATTTCCTATTCATCAAACGAAAAGATTCACTTAAGATCCAATTTTTTTAAGGTACAGTATATTTGAGGATTCTGTCCATGTTGACTGTGATCAGAGATGATCACTCCTCCTTTCACTTGAATCCCTCTCCATCTCGCTGTGCTGCTGTCATTGGGTTCATTGAGTCTAGAGAGAGTAAAAGTGCTAATGATAGTTGAGAATTAACCAATACTTACTTACACTCTTATTAACATGTAATTACATACTGTAATTACATAGCATCCCCATGCAAACAATAATGTTTTGTGCTATAATCCTGACAAATCACCTTTATTAGCCATACATACCTGATCTCTTCACATGTTATCTTCCAGATCAGAGTGATGGTTATTTATCTGAGAAATCACAATAGAGAGAGAGACTTTATATGCTGACATGAAACACACTGTGCTACATTTGCTCATCGTCATTTAGAAAACATCACATTCACAGATCACGAAAACGGTTATCTCCAAAATTGCCACCACTGGGCATTTGATTAAGTTGATTTTGTTGGTCGATGAAATATCCAGATTTCACTGTGACTGTAGTTCTCCATCTGTGCATCTGTTAAACCAAGTTTAGGAAGGATGAGTGACACTCCTTGGTAATCCTAGGAAGTGGTATTACCCCTTGCATTAGGACAGATTTGGGATGCTGTGTTGTGGTTGACTGGTAAACACTCTTCTCTATTCATTCCTTCCATCTTCCTCCCACTTCCCCTCTCAACTGTCAGAGAAACAATGGCTCCCCTGCCTGGTGAACAAGCTCAGCCCACACAGCCTGGTATAGATAATGAACAGTGGTACAGAGGCAGAACACTTATTGTGTCAGCCAGGTAGGGAGACACTTGGTTGTAATTGTAGATAATTACTCTTCATTTGAAGAGGTGGGCACACAGAATGTAATGTATGTACGAGTCCCAAAATCTGAAGAATAATAGTTAATCAACTATCATCTCCCAATATCTTACTCTCTTTGTTCTATGACACACACACAAACACAAACACACTTTTCCAGAACTATTGCAACTGTGACAGCCAGTGCTATATTCCACAACATGTTGAAGATATGCACTTTCAGAACAAATAATGAAAATCTATGATAATGTAAAACATTCAAGCACTACCCAAACGGTACTATAACATTACTGAGGTGCAAGGAGTGCGCAATCACCAGTAGGGGGAAGAAGAGTTTTGTGTTTACCCTGTGGTGGTGCTGGTATTGTGTTGGAGGTGGTCATCATCGCTGGCCTCTCCTGGCTCTGGGCTCTCTCTCTGTCTGTGGTGAAGGCTAACAGGGGAGTCGTCCAGACTGCTCACTGAGTCCGAAACACTGCCCTCCCCGGTCGGAGGTGAATCTGGACCAGACACACGCACACAGTTATTTTCACAATTGTTGAGCATGTTCTGTTGTCAGTGTACCTCTCCATTGAATATAGTCCATAGAATATGGCTTTAACTGTGTTTTTGAACTTCTTTCTTTGTAAATGGTAGCCAATGTCCCAGTTATGTGCACAACAAAGCCTGCCGATAGTTACTTTACACTAAGGCATTGCCCATTTTTTTTTATTTTCTGTTGATGCAGTGCTCACTGATGCAAGATGCCCCAAATTATAATAGAAAATAGTCATAATGGGCCAATAATAATCTAATGACAAATACACTACATGGCCATAAATATGTGGACACCCCTTCAAATTAGTGGATTCAGCTATTTCAGCCACACCAGTTGCTGACAGGTGTATAAAATCGAGGACACAGCCATGCAATCTCCATAGACACACATTGGCAGTAGAATGGCCCGTACTGAAGAGCTCAGTGACGCCGTCAAAGGATGCCACCTTTCCAAAAAGTCAGTTCGTCAAATGTCTGCCCTGCTAGAGTTGCCCCGGGCAACTGTAAGTGCTGTTATTGTGAAGTGGAAACGACTAGGAGCAACAACGGACGGCTCAGCCATGAAGTGGTAGGCCACACAAGCTCACAGAACGGGACCGCCGAGTGCAGAAGTGCGTCTGTCCTTGGTTGCAACACTCACTACCGAGTTCCAAACTGCCTCTGGAAGCAACATCAGCACAATAACTTTTTGTCGGGAGCTTCATGAAATGGATTTCCATGGCCGAGCAGCCGCACATAAGCCTACGATCACCATGCGCAATGCGAAGTGTCGGCTCGAATGGTGTAAAGCTCGCCGCCATTGGACTCTGGAGCAGTGGAAACGTGTTGTCTGGAGTGATGAATCACGCTTCATCATCTGGCAGTCCGACGGACGAATCTGGGTTTGGTGGATACCAGGAGAACGCTACCACCCCAAATGCATAGTGCCAACTGTAAAGTGGTGGAGGAGGAATAATGGTCTGGGGCTGTTTTTCATTGTTCAGGCTAGGCCCCTTAGTTCCAGTAAAGGGAAATCGTAATGGTACAGCAAACAATGACATTCTAGACGATTCTGTGCTTCCAACTTTGTGGCAAAAGTTTAGGGAAGGCCCATTCCTATTTCAGCATGACAAATCCATACAGAAATGGTGTGGAAGAACTTGACTGGCCTGCACAGAGCCCTGACCTCAACCCCATCGAACACCTTTGGGATGAATTGGAATGCCGACTGCGAGCCAGTCCTAATCGGCCAACATCAGTGCCCGACCGCACTAATGCTCTTGTGGCTGAATGGAAGCAAGTCCCCGCAGCAATGTTCCAACATCTAGTGGAAAGCCTTCCCAGAAGAGTGGAGGCTGTTATAGCAGCAGAGGGGGGACCAACTCCATAATAATACCCATGATTTTGGAATGAGATGTTCGACAAGCAGGTGTCTATGGACTATATTCCATACTTTTGGCCATGTTGTGTAGATGTTCTTTACTTTAATCAATGAATAGTAATTTCCCCCTCCACTTGTTATCTCTCATCATCATAGACTCGTAAGAGGATTACAAAACAATGTAATGTTAGCAGGGGAAATTCTGTAAGTTAAGCTCCCAATGATGAGATAGTATAAAAGAAACTCTCCAGTCCAGGCTCTAAGCCTTCTACCTGAGTGGTCCTTTATCTGTCTGTCCATCTTTTCCACACTGTCCAGCAGTCCATCAATCTGCACCTTGATCAGAGTCAACTCCCTCTTTATGGCCAACAGCTCTGCCATCTTCACTGTAGAGAGAGAGAGGGAGAGAAAGAGGGAGAGCGAGGGAGAGAGAGATGGAGGGAGAAAGGAGGGAGAGAAATCTAGATTTGAGAAATAATCCTCTTTTGAGAATTCTTTTCATATAAATCTCCCATTAACATTGATGTATGATTTGCACGAAAGTCCAAGTTATGAGTGCAGGTCTTAAAATAGGATTTGGCCTAGAGAGGGCTGTAATAGTGCATAGTGTTGAAGCCTGTACTCACAAACTCACTTTGTCTTCCCATGCATGCCACCATCACTTAGTGTACTGGAAGCACCCTCACTCCCAGGGCCTTAACATCTCCTCTCCACTAGCCTATGGTCTTTAATGGGAAATTCAAATCACAACCCCAGCTCTGAGAAAACAACCCTGAAACGCTTTACTATTAAAAGCTGTTCGACCTCTGCAGCTACAAAGGCAATCTAATTTCCCTATGATGGGCTGGCAGTAAAAACTATTAAGGCTTGTAATAAACTAGTATAAACAATTCTTATTTGTTATGCACTATTAACTTGGTATAATTGCAGCATGTTGATAGGCTGGGTAGTGGAAGGAGAGGAGAGGGGCCCTGCAGTCGAAAGGCTTTTAATGAAGAGACCATCTGGTGCTTCTGACTGTGCCCTGGGGCTCCCAGCGCTGCCGTTCCCCATGCAGACATGGCATTACACTAGGAGGAACACTCAGGCATCCAATATACACAGACTCCCAAGTGGTTTCATAGGCACACACATACAAACACACATAGTCAGTGAAAAGAAGCAGATACACATACACTGAAGATAAAACGTTAAGTGCACATGCACAGATTACATTCACCCTGTAATGAGCTGTTTTTATGGGTGTGTCTGTGTGTGGTGAGTGTGTCTGTGAGTGCATGTGTGCGTGTGTTAACATTGTAAAGAGTGTGTTGTGAGTGAGTGTGTGTGCGGGTTACAGTGTGTGGGGTCCCTTACACTTAGCCCTGGTGCTGGAAGAGCCGGTGCGCGGGGCGCTCCTCTTGCCCTGAGGTCTGTCTCTGGAGCGGTGCAGGCCGGAGGAGGAAGAGGGGCCACGGGAACGTTTTATAGGGCTGGGCTCCACTGGGACTGGCATCATGGAGGCTGGGACACGCTGGTAGTCAAACACCCTGTGGGGAAACAACATGACTTAATAAGTAATTATACAGTAAGTACGTTATAATATTTGTAAGTAAACAAAACCTTACTTGTGGTCCTAGGGTCCTGAGCATTTACTGACCACATGATAGGACCAAGCAATGACAGCTATAGGTTATAAGTCTCATAAACGCATGCGCTTTAAAACAATCATATGCTGATGTGTCAGAGCAACCTTTCCTAAATTCCCAAAAGAGTGTTGGCCATAGGCTTTCCATATACTGTCCACTGCAGGAGGAGACGCAATCTCCCTGGCAGGCTGGCAGCACTGAAAACACCTGCCTCCAGACAATTTTTCAGTTAAAGGTTATTCATGCCAATCACATGAAATAGTGGACTTGTTTATAATATACATAAGCCATTTGGTGCCATTACATATTGAGTATTTGTATTCGATAATCACAGTGATATATTGATGTAATCTCATAGCCTGGTGCACCAAATAGCTCTGGGCCAAAGAGCTCTGGGGTGCTTTGATTTGCACTGGGCTGGGCTCAGAGGTAGCATGTCCCCTCTCTATCTCTCTCCTCTTCTCTCTCTCTCTCTTACGCTCTTTCAGTCTCTTTTTCTCTTTTTCTCTCTCTCTCTCTCTCTCTCTCGCTCAGCCTTTGAGGTTAACCAGCCCATTCATCTCTCTAAGTGCAGGCATCTCTTCTGATACCAGTGCGATCACTGCAGCTGTGTGTGTGTGAGAGAAGATAGAGGGTGTCTTGCTGTTTCAGGTAATCTCTGAGATAGACTGTGTAGTTTGACAGAGATGCTACCCCGTCTGTGGTTTTTGCCCATACCCTCCTCGCCCCCCCCCCCCCCAAAACCTCTACCATATTGCTGCTGTCAATCAGGGGGATAAAAAGCTCTCCTCAGAGATGAGCGATCACAAGGAAGTGAACAGGTAGGCCTACATGTGATGGGTTACTGTTGCCTTTTCCTTACCGAGGACCACACTAACCTCCTATCTGACTTGAAAAGGAAATATCTGCCGTTCTATATGAACTGTTTATAAATTAAAAAGAACATCCTGGAACTACATTATACACAATTGGGTATGAGTCATACTGTACTAAAGGGAAGAGAAAAATAACTGAAGGTAGATAGTTGACTTTACTGAGAACTTCTGAATTTGATTACCTACTGTACTGTAGATGTACTCTGGCAACAAAGGAAAGTCCATGAAGGAGAGCGAGAAAGTGTTACTTTTAGAGTACTGTACCGTTGTAAGCTTTTAATCCGCAGCAGAGCAGATAACTGCCAATAAATATTTTCACACACTGTTGATATGCTCAGCTCAAGGAGAATGCCTCAGGGAGAGCATTCCATACAGTATGTAGGCTACAGTACAAAGTGAGTTTAGGAGGAAGCCGGTTTCTTTTTTTACTACTAAGACATACAAAGACAATCCTATAAGATGATGCCTGGGTAATGATTTGAAGAAATTACCCAATCTCTTATTGGATGCACTTTAAATCAGATGTTGGTTGTTTGTAAAAGGACATATACTGAGTGTACAAAACATTAGAAACGTCTTCCTAATATTGAGTTACACCCCCTTTTGCCCTCAGAACAGCCTCAATTCGTCAGGGCATGATGTCGAAAGCATTCCACAGGGATGCTGGCCCATGTTGACTCCAATGCTTCCCACAGTTGTGTTAAGTTGGCTGGATGTCCTTTGGGTGGTGGACCATTCTTGATACACATGTGAAACTGTTGAGCATGAAAAACCCAGCAGCGGTGCAGTTCTTTACACAAACCGGTGCACCTGGCACCTACTAGGGGCGGCAGGTAGCTTAGTGGTTAAGAGCATTGTGCCAGTAACCGAAAGGTCACTGGTTCTAATCCCAGAGCCGACTAGGTGAAAAATCTGTCGATGTGCTCTTGAGCAAGGCGATTAACCCTAATTGCTCCTGTAAGTCGCTCTGGATAAGAGCGTCTGCTAAATGACTAATTATTATTATTTTATTTTTTACTACCATACCCCGTTCAAAGGCACTTAAATATTTTGTCTTGCCAATTCACCCTCTGAATGGTACACATACACACTCCATGTCTCAATTGTCTCAAGGCTTAAAAATCTTCATCTACACTGATTGAATTGGATTTAACAAGTGACATCAATAAGCGATCATAGCTTTCACCTGGATTCACCTGGTAAGTCTGTCATGGAAAGAGCATTCATGTTTTGTACACTCAGTGTATAATCACTCTAATCCTATGCCAGTGTAGGATGAAGTAAGGACACTTCTTAACTCGCCTTGTGTTGCGATGGCCGTGTGAGGGGCAGTAAAGGAAGATAAAGGGATGAGAGAGAGACAGAAGAGAGAGGGGAGAAGGGACTGAACGGATCGCTTATCAGCAATGCATGAGCTGGCTGGCAAGGTCCTCGTTTTTCATGCTGTCATCCCCCTCTCCCTCAGCCCTTTTCCCTCCATAGCTGTGGTGTTTCCCCCTTGCTTCGCAGTGCTCCACCGCCGGCCTGAGCTGTGTTTTTTCTCCGGACCAGCGGGGCGGGTGGCCAGGCGTCCAGTCAGCTATGCAGGGAGACTGTGTTCACCCATCTGTGAAATCACCACCAGCGGCGGACAACCAGGGGGAATGTCAGGTCATGTGGATACAGTATGGGTCAATAGATAGTTTCACTGCAGAAACTTTGCTGCCCTGCTACCCGCAGCCCTCAGGGAAGCACTGCATCATCATATGATCTGTTACCTGAGCCCGATGTGCTGGGTAAGAGGAGAGGCAGCTCCTATATACTGCACTGATGGGGGAACAAAACAAGAATAAATGGGTGTGTTTTAGGTTCAGGGGGTAAGAATTGGAGGCCGATAAGTTTTCTACACACACACACACCTCATTGATGGAAATACCCATAGAAACATGGTCCCTTATTTCAATACTTCTAGGGATACCATTATATCAGCCAGGTCATGTTCTCTATCTGTGAAATTGCTGAGTTTTCAGTGTACAGAAGTAAGAGCTGTGTCACCTTCAGTAATCCACAGAAAAAACCCTGTCAATGAGTCTTGCTACTGTAGCTGTGAATAAGCAAGGACACATCAAGGGCCATTTAAACGGTAAAATGGAGTAATGAGAAAAAAATAGCCCCAAGGTCCCCCAACTCTGACAGGTTTAAATTGTGTACCCTTGGTACTAGGCAGTTGCTGTTCTTTATTGATTTTATTTGTTCGTTTCAGTGGGCTCTGAAATGATTGACACCCTTTATATTGATGAGCAAAAATTACTGTTTGAAATAAATATTTCAAATACTGAGCTATATTGTCTGCAAAAAAAAGGGGGGGGGGGGGGGGGGGGGGGTTCATTTTATTATGTTATCCGACTACAATTGCTCAGAGAAATTGGGAAATTATATTATTTTATGCTAAGAGAATTGCTCAGAGAAAGAGATTTTGTTGAACAAGTAATTATTTTTTTCTCAAAAAGGTAGGGGTCAAAATGATTGACACCCCTGTTTTCAATACCTTCAAAAACCTCACCATGCAAGGACAACGGCACTGAGCCGTTTTCTAAAATGTTTTATGAGTTGGAGAACACATTCTCATTATGACGTAAGCACAGACTAAGAATAAGCACAGATTAAGAATATCAAGGATCTGGAAGGATTCTGTATGGAGTAATGGTCTAAGATCCCTCCCAATGTGTTCTCCAATCTCATAAAACATATATTTTTTAAAGGCTCATCAGTGCCATTATCCTCTGAAGGTGAGGTATTGAAATGTACTGAAAACAGGGGTGTCAATAATTTTGACCCCTAACTTTTTGAGAAAAGTATTACTTGTTAAACAAAGTATCTTTCTCTGAGCAATTGTTTCAGCATAAAACAATATAATTTCAAAGAAATTGGAGCAGTCAATATAGCTCAGTATTTTAATTATTTATTTTATACAGCCATTGTTTGTCATCTTTATCAAGGGTGTCAATAATTTTGGACCCACTGTATATACACAGTAGCCTACATAGATTTGGTTTAAATGTGACTAGAATTGCACTATAAAGTCGGAGACTTATTTCCATTGTGGTTCCTATTTTTGACATAGATGCATATACAGTTAAATAGATACAGACACATTACAGAGATACAGCAATTACAAATGGTTCTACTGTTCCCTCATTAGCCAGCTTTTGACATTATTTTTAAGACGTTATGGTCGTAATGGCTTTGAGTTGCTGTGGTAGTTTGTTCCAAGTTGAAGTAATACTACTCTTTTATCCACAGCTCGACCCCCTGATAATTACAATTCTTGAAAGCTTGGTTTGGCTGGTCTGTAGATTCCCTTACTGAAAAACCATGATTTCACATGTGATATTTCCACGTTTTGCACATGTGAAATCATGTGAAACCATGTGTTTTTGGAACACTTCACATGTGATGATATTTCACATGTGGATTATAATTTTCACGTGAGATTTCACAGGTGATGCCCCGCAAACAAATATCAGTCATTGTGATACACACAGTGCTTTTAATGTACTGTAAATTACAATTCCCACGAACCGGATTAACCATATTGGTGCGATGCATAGGGTGATAGCCTTTCACACCGTAGACCTGGGTTCACTTCTCACTGTTCACTGAAATACAGTGTTTTCAAATTACATATTTGACACACTTTGACACGCATGACTACATTGTGTATGTTTATTTATACAGTAATTATTGTTCATCATGTCCTTATCTGCGATTTGAACTCACAACCTGGTTCACGGCATTCCGATATTCCTGCTAAGCCACCATATCTGTTACAGTAGGTTAACTTATAACTTGCCCGCTCGACCCCATCTGCTCCTTTCTGGAAATCTTCTCCCATTCCTCACTTCCCTCATCTACTCATTCCTGACCACTGGCTGCGATCTCTGTGACTTAAAAATGGCCAGAGTAGGGCTGTGGTGGATATGAAACGTTGTCAGCCGGTTATTGTCATGCAAAAGACTGCCGGTCTCATGGTAATGTACGTTAAATTAACATAAACACGTTTA